TGCACCATTTAAGAAAACAAAAATCATTCAAAGTTCAGACACAATTTACCCTACGATTCCCTTACAAAACACTATAAAAGTAACAAGCTAACTATAAAAATACATCAAACTTCATTTCTAACATAATTCCTATCATTAATACACTATAAAAAGCTAAAAATCAACCTTTAAACATCAAGATTTAGTCATAAAAACAGCATTCTAACTACCTAACAATCAACACAACCTCTGCCAATTTCGATCTTATTTTCTATTTTCCTCACTAAATCTCCTAATGTGACTTCAAGTCACGTCATAAAATTCCAAAGTTTCAAATTCATAACAAAAAGTCCAAATCTCAAAAATCAACTCTTACGATATTTTTCATGAACAAAAATCCAAAAATTAGAACAGAAAATTATAATTCAGACATAAATTAAAAATAAACCCGACCGGTTCCAAAACAGGAAAATTATATCGGACACAAACCCGACCGGTCCCAGAATCCGAAAACTATATCGGACACAAATCCGGAAAAATCCGCTTTTTATGAAGATCACAGTAATCGCTTATCAAAAAATTTATATGACTACTACGACTACTTTTCTGACATTAGTACCGCTTAGTATTCGCGAGTATTGACAGTTGATGTTTTAGCGTCAGATGGTACTGTAACTGTACGAGTATAGACTACCTTACAGTACTTTATCGTCATGTTATAAATCCCCTTTCTCTAAGGATAGGGTTTTGCTACTAAGTCAAATTTCTTTACAATTTGAATAGATGATGAAACGCCCTTTCTTTAGATTAGGCATTTGCTCTATAGGGCTACTTCTATAGTAATCTATATAATACCTTGTAAAATAATGAAGAAGAAAAGATGGCGACATGATGATTTGGCAGGGTAAAACTTAAAGACACTATCACTTTCTAGGTATTTTGTATAGTAAAATAATACTAATTACATACTAAAAACTACAAAGGACTCTACTTTTAGTCCTTTTACTACAGGTGATCAACTGTTAGAAAACCAATGTCAGCAGTGAGAATTTGTAATCCGATCATAAATAATCTTAGCATAAAATTTATTATAAGAAGTTGACCATCTACTGCATGATAGTTTATACTCTACACTCGATGCGTAAGTGTGTTAAAAATATAGATTGGAGCGATTATAATTTAATTTTGTATTACTTTGAACCAATTTTCACCATAATGGAAAGTCTAGAGTTAGGTACTTGAGTAACTTATATCAGTATATTAAACATATATGATTATCTTTAAATTTTATAGTAGAACAGACATACTCATAGGATAAAAAAATATTTGAACGATATTAATTAAACAAACTATCATCTTAAAAAATGTCTCTTCTTATTGTAAATCTGAGAGTAAAGTTGTTTAATGACGATGTTACAAGAAGCCATAAAAATATTCTACCTAGCTGTTGAAAAAACTTTAGCCCTGGCACGGCTATTTATAGATAATTTACTTTTAGTTCCATTAATAAGAGCCATCTGGCGCAAGTTATGATTATAATTAAAATCATAGAGCTGTATTTAGCAAGATTCCCTCCGAGATTACGGTAATTTTCAGTAGAGGTTATGAAGATAATCTTGTAAGATAGCCTAATCATTATTTAAATTGCCTATTAAAACTTTCAGTCTATAGTTAAAGAGTTCTATAAGATCTTTAAGTAATCAAAATTAATTCTGCTAAGTAGCTAGGATAGACGAATATAAATATCGATATTCATAGACAGTATCTGCCCATCAAAAGAGAGGCCATTACAAAAATTAAGAACATGCTTTAATTGGTGGGTGCCTATCATAAACTAAGAAGAGCACAGGTGTCACGGTGCGAATCATCGTGAAGACTAAATGACTAAATTTAGTGGTTAACATTTATATATGGAGATTACTAATAATAACTAACAGGAAGAACTACGATCCTACCCACCCTCCCTTCAAGCGAGCACGGGGGTATTTATACTATTGTTAGATAACTGTGATTATGGGTTCATTTCAATAGGTCAGTATAAGATTCTTACCGTACTTTTTACCCCAAGATTTCTTTATGTAAAACGAATAGCTCTAAGGTAGTAATTTCTGCAGAGTACTGATTTTTAAAATAGTATTCGTTATATCGCTAAGGGTGGCCACTGGGCCTTTCAATTTTGATTTGATGTCATACTCTGATGAAAACTGAATAAACATAGAATGTTTATAGAGTTTTCTACGCAGCCATTTTGATTTTGATTGTTACATTTTCTTGTAACGGTTGTTATCGACAGAGCAAGCGATCCTTAGACATATTATAATAATTGAGATAGAATTGACCACAGTACTAAGGACATTGTACAGTACCTGCTAATCTTAACTTGGTATGTCCATCACCGTACATTAGTTATCATAATGTGCTTTGAACCATGAACTAATCTTAATATAGCATTTCATAGCATTTCATCCGTGAATGCATTATTGAAAAGTAGTATTCTACAAGCATAGCTGTGAATATAGTAGTGCCTGGCTATTACCGAGATATATATAATGTCGAATGGTAATACTATCTGTTAATTATTAACAAATGGATACAATATCGTAAACCGTCAGCAAAGCGACGTGAGTTTGTACTAGTAGTTATTATTTTGTTACAGTAAATTATGCTGTACTGTAGTAAGAGTTCTTATACGGTAACTAATGTTAATTAATTGTAGTGTTATGTCTTGTAACACTTGTGATGAATATCCTGAAGATATCCAATTATAGATGATATTATAAATAAATCTGTGTATAGATGTTACGGCTATTCCTAAGAATGATTTTGTCCTTAAGGATATGAACTAAATTTCACGTACTGTTATGACTAATACATGATAGCAGCTGCCGAAGGGTACTTAAGCTCAGTAGATAGTTGAATAATGAGAGTTCTATAGTTGTTTAATGTAGAAGTAAAGGCGCCTAAATTCTTGTGAGATAGTTAAGGGATAATTTAAAAATAAATTTCAAGTTAAATCCCAATATTTAGGGTTACGGTAAGGATATTTTGGGATGTAAAAGTTGATTAGCATTTGCCATTTTGATAATGATGCTGTACGAACCGTTAAAATATTATTAAAGAGGATATTTTTACTCGTCTACGCAGGCTTTTTAGTTGTAGCAAGTTTCTGGTAATATCGATGAATTTAACAAATTTATCTATTCCAAAATCGATATAAAATAGACCTTACGCTAGGGAATGAATTTCTAATAAACTATTTAATTAAGATCAACGGAAATGAATATTTGAATGACTAACCTTATACTTTACTTTTTTCACTAATAGCATCATTTGCCTTAATTTCATGAAGAAAATTCAAGGTAAACCCACTTTCTAGGAGTAAAACCTTTGAAAAATACAGTAGTAACCCTGCCATAGTATTGATTTAATACGATATCATTTTTATTCGTGAATGAGCGTCGTTACACTTAGTATTTAAGATGAATAACAGCATCGAAATACCTCAATTTCTAAATAGACGTTATATGAACATCACATTATTAACACGATATATCGACAGTAACATAATTCTGATCTATATATCTCATCAGTGGGCCGGTTGAATTTAATAATGACTAAAATATAACTAGCATATTCATCAAGATTGTAAATACAATTTAGTTTAGTTCATTATGGATCTGATATCCTATAATTTTCAGGCACTAGAATCAATTTGTATATTTTTAACTTCCTTAACCAGCTAGGCCATTAATAAATTGATCTAATGATTTATTAGAAACATTTCCACTATGACACTTCTTGTTACCTGAACGAACTATCTGAAGCGATTTTAAATTTAGAAAGACTCCTGTTTCAGAAAGTACCGGTAGTTAATAAATTACAAATTTAGCATTGTCTAATTCTGATACACTAGAAAATATATATATAAACTTATGCTATGGCTAATCTTAGTTCTAAATAGACATTTGCAATACATATAAATTAATAAATTGAAAGTATATTATAATTTTTAATACGGTACTAATGAGCAGGAAGAGTTTTTTGAGGAGTCTCACTACGTGACTGTCTAGGATTTGATGATGATGGAACCTATCAGATCAGTAAACAACGTTAGATCTATACAACGTATACCAAAGTTAATAATTGGCCTATAGTATTGCACTCTCTAAAAATTTTATAATATTACTAAGAAAGGTAGTCTATCCTTACGGTCAATGTTTGGCTACTTGTAGCCATAAGCACACTTAAGCGGTATGTGAAAGCTCTCTTCGTTAAACTGCTGATGACGAGGTAGTAGAGATACAAGCATATTTGGACTATCACAACCGCCATCGCAACTGGTTGAAGTGTTTCAGACTTTATTTCTTGATCGAATTCGCATATAACTTTAATATATGTTTCTGCGTTGATTAATATACGCATAGTAATTCCCAGTATCACATATCCTCCGAATAAACATAGTAAGCAAACAATAGAGAGGATTTTTTGAATTAGGATCTAGTAAAAAAGTATATAACCGAAATAATTTAAGAACAGATTTTAATTGAAGATAACAAAATAAAATGATAGACATGAATTCTAATTAATAAAGTAATCGCTTCAATTACCTAAATATAAAGCGATTTGTTACATTACTTGAAATAGATAGCCGAAACTTTACAGTAATTTAATTAACTAGGGCATGAAAGTGGAAATTTCAATGGAGAAGCCGTAATGATCAAATTTATAATTTGCCGATTAGTATAGTCTAATATCCTTCATAATTAATTTAATCTAATGCAGCTACTGCTTCTTTTCTGCTCGCATAATTAGATATGTTCGATGAATTTACGACAGATTAATGCATTATTTCTTACATCTCTTTCTGAATGATTGCTTCTTCTATTTATGAAATGGCCTACAGCACCAAGTACGAGCATCTAGAAGCATAAAAGGCGATCATTTTAATGGCATCATAGAATAAACTGATAAATTCATCAATTAGCCATAGACTACAAATAAATTTGCTCTATTTCTAAATCTATTTCATTTAAACTTGCTGTTGAAAATATACAACATCAGCTTTTAATCTTAGTTTTGAATACCCTACTTATCCTTTGAATCTAATATGATAACTGACTATAAAGCCATCATAAGGTAGTTGGCGATATTAATTCTGCTTACCGGTCCTGCTACCCAAAATGTATTGAAGTATTGATTGAAACTAAGAATATATATACCAAATGGGCAGTATACACTTAATCCGATTATTGCAACGATGATCTGAATCAATGCCAGAGCAATAGTGATGTCGCACTGTATGCCAAGTTTTCGAAATGATATTAATGAAGGAGTTACAATAACATTTGTATTACTAACAGGAACATTTAAGACAGGCTTTATAGATGACATAGTGATTTTTCAGTGTGAACTGTTTAGAATAAAGTTGATTTGAAGGAAGAAAATTCAGTTATTATTAGTGGTCCTAAGTTAGTAGAGAAATTTAAACGATATTCAGGCTAGAACAAGTTATACTAGCATTAAATTCATATTGTTACGGTTAATGCGTATATACTACAGTATGTTAAACGGAAATTGTTCGTATGTACTGTAACCTTTAGTTTATTATTGTACGTGTGCTAGTTGACGAAGTAAAATGAATTCTTAAGATCATATATTTCCGTTTCTTACAAGGGCTGTTATTCAAGATGTTACTGTAGTCATATCTACTGTTAATTGTAGAAATAGAAACAATCCAGCTTATTTATTTGATTAACTAGTTAAATATTTATCAATGGATAGATAGTTTTCTGTAACACCATTAGGCGCATTAACAAGAGACATTAAATCGGTTAGAATTCCTTAATCAAGTTTAGCTACAGACTTCAATCGTAAAGATGAATGTAACGATGTAAACTTGTAATTTTTTTCGGATTACTAATATTATCTTAATATGGCATATAATATAAGCCAAGATAGTTTATAATTATGGAATGAAATATTTGTATCGTAAAAGTTATAGAATTAAGTAAAAATAAATAATTCGCAATTCGTTATCTAAAGAAACCAAAACCTGTATCGTGCAAGTAGGATAAATTAAGGTTATTAAAGTTGCTTCCTTATTCTAATCTATTGTACATAGGCGATATTGTAACCTTTAGAGTTCTTACATACTTAGATTTGATTACAGATTGCGGTATTTGTAGTGCAGCCCCAAATATAGCTTAGGTGACAATCCCAGTTCGAGAATAGGTTAAACTGTACGTTAAAGTGTAAGGTTATCTTAAGTGTCTATTTGTAGAAGGCGTTTATAATACATATTTTAGCGATTATATTGAGATGTTTATATAAAGATCTGAGATAATAATAGATTGTGTTAAGTGTGTTAGTACTGTTAGATTTGCACTGTGACGCTTTAATTAGAAGTGTGAATTATGAGCTAATAGTGCGATAGTAAATTTAGATATGATCTTGTAACTTAATTGGTAAGATATGATTTATTCGAAGGAAAATTATTGTGTAATTAATTGTACATAAATCGTGAATATTGCTGTAATAATTTGGATAGTCCAGAGATGGCCTAATTGCAGTTAGATAGTCCTCGGTAGTTGTGGGACAAACCCTTTTCTTATGTAAAAAAGTGAAGTTTACAAGAAACTATAGTTCTTGTTATAATTTTGAGAAGACACTCTATCACACTATAGTAAAACTTTATTTAGGATAATAATTTGAAATATAGAAACGCCACTAGAGATAAGTAAAATTTTAATACCTTTTTAACCTGTATTAATAGGGTTTTCTCTAATAAATGGACATTAATCGATAGGTGTAGAAGATTCTGATACAATGAATGAATAAATAAATAAATAAATGAATTTAAGTTACAAGTACCAGCCAAGCTGGTGTAAACGAGGTTATACTGTACATGAGATAGTAATGTAAATTGCGATTAACTCAATTTTTGTAAATCTAGCATATCTACTTCGTGGCTTACCGTTTACTAAAAATATTGGTTTAATACCAGTTTCCATGCCAGTATATTAGTTATTAGTCTGCATTTTCATTTCACAAACAACTTTAGATTACCGTTTACAATTTTAGTTTAGTCAACTGCGAATACGACTTAGATTACTTATTATCAATTAGGACAATACTTAGCGCGCATAGATTTTTCCTGGCAAATTAATGATTAAAGTCGTCAGCTTTCTTAATAGCAATTAAGCTGCTCTTATTATTTTGATAATAGCTGACCCAATTACTAAAATAACAACGCTATGGATTCTTAAGCTACCTATTCTCAGAACATGCGTAGATCTCTTAATTAATTAATAAAAATCCTTAAAAAGTTTGTTATCGTCTCATAAGCTTATTGAAATAAGATAAGTTCCTAGAATATCTTTCTATTGTCCTACTAGATAACATGTATTAATAGTCAAGCTAAAATTTTGGCATTTATGTGATTTCAAGGTAAATCAGAATAAACTTCTAAATAGGCATGATTAAAGATAGTACCGTATTCAAAATATACGATGTTGGACATTAATTAAGCAACATAAAGTTTTAGAATTTACGGGTAAGATGCTCGATGTTATTTGTCTAGATGGAGCCTGCAAGTAGACTTAAGTTAGGATAAGCTATGTTATAGTACTAGTCCATGATTGTCTCTTTAAATATTAATAGCTCAACTAAATGGTGCTTGTTTAACATACTCATACTTAAGGCAGCAATAATACATAATTGGTGAACCTCTGAGTGATAAATTGTACATATTACCTATATCGAATGATTTTTCTTACCTCTAAAAGTGTTTTAGCAGCAACGTCGCGGGCAAATCATCGATTAGTAATATAGTAGTCACCTTTCGATCGTATAAAATTAAAAGAAATTACAGCTTGATCCGATATTAAATCGTAATATAAGTATCCTATTACTATATATTTAGGTAGGCCAATGATAAACTACTACCTTTTTACCATGATAAGTTAAGCGCCAACTAAAATCAACAATGATTTTAATCAAGATTGATATCTATTTATGTTAACCAATAGCACTAGCCTAGCAAGTAATCTGAACACCCTTCTATCGTATAAAAATAAATGCAATTATAACTTGATCTGATGTTAAATCGTGATACAGGCATACTATTGCAATATATTACCGTAGCTCAAGGATAGGCTATTGCCAATTTATCATGATAGTTGAATGTCAACTAAAATCAGCAAAAATTCTAATAAAAATTTATATCTATTTAAGTTTGCCAATAATACTAATCTAATTTGTCTCTTTAATCAATCACTAATAACGATTTTGATTGGCTTAGATAAGATAATTATATGCAGCGTCATTCGTGAGTCATAATTAGCCGTATTTTTTCGATTGCAATTAATTTATAATTTAGTCTTTCTTGTTGTTGACGTAGCAATCATCATTTCTTTAACCTTTCATGTGAAAATCTCTTTGAAATAGTTGATAATTATGATCTATAAAGTAGATAACAATCTATAAATGATCAGCAATGAAATAACATCAAAAATAACTTTAATTGAAATACACGTAAGAACAAAAATTAGATAAAAATTGACAAGGGATATCTACTTGCAGTGACCATACACGAATATTTACTATTGCTATTTAAAGTAATATTCGGTAAGTAAATAATATCAAGCAAATAGCCCTTATTTTATCTACTGGTAACAGTGTTACTAAGTATTTACTATAAACGATAAATAACAGCTTCAAAATTCAGCACTTAGAGTATGTAAAGTGAATTGAAGGATCACAACTGCCGGGCTTCACTTGAGCCGATTGCGACTACTAAATATTGTAATAGATTGCAATATTACTCTAGGTCCTAAGTTAATGTCGTACGTAGCACGGTTCTAAGTTTGCAGCAGGTACTCTAGTTGATCGCATTATCTTGTGCCTATTAATTTATTAGACTTTGGTAATCTTAGTACTATCGTTCATACGACTTAATATCACTTCTCTATAACTATGCAAATTACTTGATCAGAACTTAAAACAAATCCATTTCAGTTCGTGTAGTCCAGAGCTATCTTATGTTAACAATTAATCATAAATAAGCGAATAAAGTATCTGGATAAGTACTTATCTTAATATTCTATTTTATCAGTAATTGTATGATACGGGAAAAGTTATCAATAATTTACCTTAATCTACATTCAATTTACAGAACAATAATGTTACGTTAGTAAATTACTCCCATGGCCAAGACCTTCTAACATAATCCGACTGTAACGTAACTTAGTATTAGGATTGTTGACTATTAGCCATGTTTAGTATGATATACAGTAGCGTGATTTTCTATATTTACCTTTAGACATATTTAGTAGCTTACGACTATAAACTGTAGTCGAAGATTCTATGCTAGAAGTACAGATGACTATATACAGTAGAATGTTGAGTTACTATTATGGTTAACGATAAAAATAGAACCATAAATCAGATATTAGGATATACTTAGTTCATCGTACTCTGACTGGTAGAAATAATGTCTATGTGAATACTGTAGTAGTTTCTATATTAGATTAATGAAGGTCCGCTATAAAATGTTGTTACTCATGATAATCTGAATATGTGTAAAATACTCTAGAATGTTGCTGTACTGATTGTAGCTGCGAAAAGAAAATAAGATATCAACTTAGATTATTCTAGTAGTTCTTTCTAGAAAAGTTCAGTAGTTATATTCGGCTAAGGTAGAGCTATGCATATATTATCTTTGTATAAGATCTATTAAGGTTCCAATTTTCTACAAATTTTGGATTTTAGCGATCGCTTATATCACCCCAACCTTTTAATGAAGCGAGAATTGCAGGCCAAATCATGTCCTGCTCTTAGTATAAGTATTATCAGCTCAAACACAGTACAGAAAGTGGGCAAGGGAAGAGTAGTTAGAATATCGTATTTAAGGTTCTTATGGGCGGGTTAAATGGCGTAGACATTAAAAGTTACTCTAAGGCTGATTATCACTGTTCAGACACAGAAACCTTTTTCAATTCATACTTGATGAATTAATTATTGTACGATATTTTAATACTGGATCTCAAATCATTCAACATTCTTGGAAATTTAAATTAAACTATTAGAGTTGTATGCATGATGCTTTAAAGGTTAATGTTATTTAGTCGCTAGATAACGAACTAGTAATCCATAAGAAATCCAATCTTCAATTAAGCGATTAATTCTATACTGGATAAGAAACACAAATTTGTACTATTGAAAGTGACAGAAATAAATTCTCAGACACGTAAAAGTAACTCAAACATTCATTATTATACATGCAGAAAACTAGCAAGTTAGAATGTTTAAATTTTAAACTAAATCTCATAAAATTGATAAACAATCAGACAATTACATCATTTAACCTACTAACGTATCAATATACAATTATTCATTGAATATGCATAGAAAATGATCGTAGAAAAATCTTCCTAAAGGAGTTCCTATTTATAAGAAGTCTTTGCCAAAAGCACTTACTCATTTATACAATAAACAATTTTTCACTCATGGAAACTTAAAATTATCGCTGTAGGTGCATATCATAAATAGTATAAAATCACGAAGGTTTATGGAAATGCTAGTATTTGCATAATATCAAGCCGACAAAAATGTTGATTTCACCTTTATCTAAGATACGTTAACAGCTATATGTTTGGTATCATTATTATCCAATAAATTTTCATGATTCTCTTTCGCCAAGGGCTGCGTCTATAAATAAATGGAGTAACTAGATTAATGCAGTTACTTAGTAAAATTAAATATCTCTAATATTCTAAAATATGCAACAGCACTTGCTATAGCAGCCTTTTGAAATTATAACCGACAATGAACTTAAAATGAAAGCTTTATTTTCCTACTTTATAATCAAATTCGATATTACTTACATTGTTGGATGTTTCGTTGTAAGTTTCTTGTCATGGTACTATTTATCATAGATCTGTAAGAAGTTATAGCAAACGCTATAAACCATATATAGTATAAACATATATATAAATCATAAACTGTAGTATCGTAACCGGAATGGCGGAATCTTGTAATTGCTTCTAAGTGAATTGTCCATTAGGACTATTGACTGTAAGCGTCTTGGGAAAATGAATCAGTGCTCTTATAATGTATAATCACAACTAAAATTACAGTACTTGCAAAGACGCAGAGGAGGCAAATGCAAGCAAGATTCTGGTGACATCCAGCCTAAATTAAGGCCAAATTAGGGTAGAAAGATTAGAAGATATGCTCATCAGCTTAGATCAATCGCTTTTATAAAATAAATAGATTGACATCATCTGTAGAAATTTCTTAATGTGTGTTAGACTAAATTCTAGATCCAGGCATAGATTCATGTTGAATAACTACATCTTTATCCTTTAACTATTGGGCAAATTAATTCTGATAACAGTTAGAAGAGCGTTAAAGTAATAATTAAGAGAGGTTATCATCGTAGTATAAATGTACACTATACTTGCAGATAGACATATAAGAAAAGAAATGAAACCTTAAAAGACGATTGGTTGCGTAAATCAATCGAATATATAGATTAGTGATTGAATTCACACTTAGATCAAGAGATTTTATATAAACAGATAAAAAGAAGAGATATTCAGTATAAATGCGTTGGTATAAATGTACATTTCCTAGCAAGTCAATTTATGAGACAAGAAATTAAGGCTTAAAAGACGATTGCTTAGCGTAAATCAATCCAATGCATAGATCAATGATTTAGCTGACACTTAGATCAAGAGATCTTATATAAACGAATAAACAATGAGCTACTTATTCTTTTCTAAATTGATTGAAACTTTTAAGTTTCTGTAGTAGAATATCATGTATAGAAGAAACGGCAAAGATTAGTATCCAATTAGCAATTAACTTTTCGTGGCTTCTTTATGTATAAGTACGGTTCTATATTAAATAATTCAATAATCTGTATTAAATAATCCTTACCTGAAACGTAGATAATTTCAAAAACGACCGCAAGAAAGTTATACATGTTATTTAGTATCGTCTGTCTACATTATCGTTACAATTCTAAATTTGCAGCGACGAAAAATAAAACTATTGCAGAAAACTAAAACTACGAGTCTATTGCCTGGCTTTTCTTCTCTGACATCTACTGGCAGTATGACTCTAAATACTGACGATCTCCTATCGTCAGGAGGAACAGTAACCAATAGAGTTTCTCTTTAGACAAACTGAAACTAAACTTTATCGAAAAGCCGGTCAATTTATAGTAAACCTGATTAAACATTAACTAAAAGGTTATAGATAATATTATGCAACTATTCAATTATCTATTAAAATATATGTAAAACGTCATCAATAAATTAACACATTCCTAGATAAGTTATCTTATGGAAATTATGTTACGATAACGATGCAAACGTTGCACCATGGAAACACAAATTACGAAACTTAATTTAACGAAGATCGTAGGATCTAATAATTCTAGGTAAATTTGTAGTCCAGATGCATACACAATCTAGGAGATAACATAACCGAACTGATAGTTTGCTTGCACGTACGTACAAGGTCCTGAAAAACAGCCTTCCGCGTATGAAATTTCTACAGAAAAGCGATTGCACGCCTCAGAAAGTTCACAATTATAAAAATTGAGGAATATTGCTATTATAAAAAATTTTGCTTGAACATGTTCACCATTATCGAAAAATTATTTCCGCAAGAATACTGCTTTAAAATGCGACTGATTACCGTAGCATCTTTGTGAAGGCTACTTCACTTTAACTACATATGCCATATTATTCTATCCAGATTACATTTTTTTTGCCCTAAGTATCTTAAAAGCTAGTACGAAATAAAATGACTGCTAATCCTCGTTTATTTACTGTACTTAAATCAATCATTGCATCAAATTCTCTGACATCATATCTCGACTACACGCAAATAGGAAAGCGAATATTACAAGTTACTTAAGACATTGCCCTTGAATCATTTCTATGATTTAATTCAGAACCATTTCTTTCTTATCTTGTAAACGATATTTAAAAGTCTTCTTCAAATTTAGCGTACACCTAATGAAATGAGTAACAAAGCCAATGCTGCTAATAATTTATATCAAAAATAAATTTAATTTTAAAGATAATTAAATGTTCATTCGTTATTATCAAGATTAGTTCAGTAAAACGAAGACTAAAATTTCGCTTAATTAATCATTTATTCACCTGATAAAGTGGCTTTAAAACGTAATTGCATTAAATTATTTACCGTTTCTAAATATCCACCGATGTAGCCTCCTGCTTAAAATTGGGGGCCATAATTTCTTTAATCGCAAAAGCATAGTAAATGTAGATTATTATTTGGCCTGCATTTGCCATAAGAGCAGGAAGCGTTACTTGCGTTAATCCCGAGCTACCCACGTTGGTAGAGCACTTCAAATTGCTGTTTGGGCCAATTAATGTAACCATATCGAAAAATGCGAATCCTAATGTTATTAATCCTGCAAATGTACAAAATGAGCACACGGTACCAGTAATGATGTGAAACCATGCCTACAATATATTATTAACGATAGTCCATACTGAGAATTTTAAGGTTAGGGCTAGTAAATGGGAAGAAATTGTATTTCGATTCGGTAATATTTTAGGAATACATACCCAATTTGAGTCAGGTTTATCATTGGCATTGATGATACTGCTAATAATGCTAAATGCTAGCGTCTGTAATCAAAATTATTCAGTCAAGAAGTGAAATTCAATCGTATCTGCTATATTATTCTAGTGATTTTAGAGATTATGAAACTATTTATTATCGGATAGGATCTACATGATATAGGCATTTTTATCTACAAGGCTAATGAACAAATTAAAATGCAGCATTAAATAAAACTAGATTTTATACCTGTTATTATTGCTAATTGATTGTGTAATATTATATTACTGTATAGATTTAAGGTACCGTATACAATAATTATTCGTATGTTATGAACATAGGCAATGCTGTAGAATAGATGATTGAATTATCAACGTCAAAACTTTCTGTTTATGCATAGAATAATAATATCAATAGGCAGCATTTTAACTATGTACTCATTTACCGGCCCAGCAACCCAAAATGTATTGGCATAAAAATTGAGACTGGATATATATAAACCAAATCGACATGGCAACCATAATCCAATGGCAGCGATAGTAATTTGGATCGTAGTTATGGTGGTAAGTGCAAATGTATGATCTTGTACTTTATAGCTACAATGGTTGCAATAGTGGGCCGTATTTTTGGAGGTAGTAGCAGGATAAATGCTACCAGACATAGTAAAAAATTACGCTATCGACAAACTCATTTGAGTTAGCAAGCGAATCAGAAAATATTTCTCGGCTTAGTAGAATTCAGCCTATATAACCAGCGAGAAAAAATCGCTATTAACTTGAGAACCTTAACTGTTCCTTATGATAGACATGAAATAAATCTTATATCAACTTTTTTTATACCATATTTGGGTAATTTGCTTTATCTTGCTATATTTAATTCATGGTTGACAAAAAATTTCTGCTTCATAGCGATATTTGAGGTAGCGTTTCGTCTCATCTACTTTTACCACAACAATAATACTATTTACATTAATATTAAAATAAGACATGCAACTATTCACCGTAAATTTTTTTAAAATTCGGTCATGAACTTTGCCGATCATATTCAACGTATTACAAATAAAACTTTAACTCATTTCTCATTTTACTATGAAAGAATGAATTGAGTAGAAAGTAATTATTTAGACTTACAACTTTAGCCAGAATTAGCGGACACCTGCATGCTTTATTAGCAGTACTTTAAAATTTTGTACTTTTATCAGCTTTACTACTAGTATTGATATTCATTGCCGTCTTCGTGAAATTTGCTTTTATGTATTGTATCATGGCAGAGTCTGATCATTTCTTTATTGATATTTATCTGCTTCTATGGTGTAACTCGGTTAGGAATAAGCATCATAGCCTAATATATCTCTCAGTCTTTGTTATCATAGCTATTTATAATGCTGATTCACTTTTTAAAATATCTCTAAACTATACGGTATAAAATGTTAGTTTCCCACTGCTTGCAACTCGTTGTTTGAATTATTTCTATCGCAGTCATGACTTGCGCATTTATGCTAGCATTTGATACAATTTATTCATTTATCATTTTAATCTTAACTTATAACACACATAAAACGCTATATTCACGTAGCTCCAGTTATAAGGTCTGAGTTGTGATAACAATTCTTTCGACATCGCTTAATATTATTCTCTCCTAATTATCATTATTGGCTTGCAAATCTTTCTCACGTAAACGATGCGGCTGTAAAATGAAATTTTGTTGTATTGCGAGAATATTAGTTAATATGTTTTGAAAAATCATTTAACCAAAATAATTTACTATAGAACGAGAGTATATCACTAATTTATATACCTACTAGAGATGCATACTCTTACCCTGATGATGCCATCGCTTCCAGTCTCTCTAATTGAAGAACTTGGACCCAAATTATAAATTTTCATAACCCATATTAAAACGATGATGTAATATAGATAGATGATAAATTGTGCATTAGTGATCAAAATAGCTGAGGTTCGAACACTTTTCAAATTAATATTATCAGGACAATTAAAATTATCTTGGGAACTAGCTATTCCGATAATGTAATACATAGTAAATCTAGTTACGGTCAATCCCCCAATTTCAGTAAATATACAGAAGGTACCTATAATCTTGTGCCATGTAACCTGCAATGGTAGTAAAATAGAATTAAATCATTTAATTTGTGGTGTGAAAAAAATAAAGATAACCGAGTATAGCTAGGATGCTGTAAGTGGGAATTAGTATTGAGAAGGCTAACTTTAACATATGTAGCCGATCATATTAGTACATATTCTAGCAATTTCCACATCCGAATACGAAATGTTTGTAAACAGATTATGCTAATTATAGTACAGTATAGGTCATAATATCTTAAATGCCTTTACATGGGCAATGTTGCTATAAAATTCTCTTTTTAGTTATTTCCTTGAAACTATATATAGCTTTATTTTTGTATACAAGTTCATGTTCTGTGGCAAATTCTGACATGTCCGTAGCAAGACTGAAATGCTCCTATGACATTATTCCAATTCTTTGAAATGGCTTAAACTTAACTTAATTTCGTTAAATTTACTGTAATAAAAACTGATATATATTATATATATATTGATAAAGAAGACTGGAATAATCTCCTTACATCAGCGTAATCGTAAATATGAGATTGAAATTATTCAATTTCATTTAAAACTATATTTATAAATTTACGCGGTTAGTAAAACAACTTGAAGAATTGGCCAAATTTAGACTTTATGTAGCGGTATCTACTAGCACTGCAGTTGCATTAAAGGACTCATAAATATGTAAAATTTAGCAATATAATATACTAAGTCATCCGCCAGTAAAATTTAATATTCACTCTATATAATGATGGAATTATTCCGCTCTTACATTGCCTATGCTTGGATTATTGTTTTTGTTTATTATAAAGCCAAATAGATCAAATAGCATTACCTATGGTTATTACAAGAGAAACAATGCACTTCAATTCATCAATTTTGAAGTTAAGATTCATTTTAATAGCTATTTCAAGTGTAAAACTAAATTTTGTGTGAACACAATATTAAATAGTAGATTTGATGCAATCATCAGCATTTCCCTGATTAGCATCAAATCAGAATAGGCGATAGGATAACTTCGAAGAGATCCTCAAGCCACTAATAATTTTAGCTTATGAATAATAAAAATATTAGAGACCTGATCGATTATTTATACTAGACTTAGGGGTCCCGCAACCCAGAAAGTATTCCATTGCGCTGTCAAACACGGAGCATATAAACCAATTTGGCATGGCAGAGCATAGGCTACTATAGCAGTGATAATTTGACTTACAGCAGTAGTAGCCAGAAGACAGCAGCTAGATCTTAGATCTTTTCCTAGTAAGGTTCCATCCATGCCTTTCCGCCGAATTCAGATGACTGATCATCCTTGACTTTGGCCATAGGCGTTTAATAAATGATAAAAATCGAGAAATAAGCTATTAATGAACAAGTACATCATCATCGGTCATTGAATTATTTTGAAAGCAAACACATCGAGTATCAGTTTCATCAATAAATTAATCATAAGATATTTTATAGGCGTTTCACAATCCTTGATATGGTCAACATTGCTATCTGATGATGTTTGGCATAGATATTTTTCATTTACTAAATTGACAAATTTTAATTTACTCAATTAGATCCTTTTTATAATAGGATTATTAGTATAAGATTACTCATCCTTGATCAGCTTAATCAATTAATTATTACAGATTTTATTGGCGTTTCAGAGTCAATTATGTGGTCAATATTGCTATCCGACGATACTTATTTTATTCTTTAAATTGGCGAAGGTTAATTTGCACGATTTGATCCTTGTTACAGGTCTACGACAAATGGTAGTACTATCTGTTAAATGAGCACATTATCGTAAATCGTCAGCAAAGCGACGGGAGTTTGCACTAGTAAGATCTAAATTGAAGGCATTATACTGAATATGGTATTATGGGAAACTGTGTTCCGATTTTGCAAGACATGGTAGAATTGTGCTCACAGTTACTATTAGGATATTTGCAATGTTTGTAAGTCAGGAAAAATGAACGATCCGCGTTTACTAGTGATTAGAAGTACCTCTTGTTAAGTAATGGAAATAATCAAATAATAAGTTATTTAAACTTTACTACGNAACTATGATCCCGCATTAATATTGAAATAAACAAAGAAACGTATCATGAACAAAGTTTTAAAGTAATG